AAGAAGCGGCTCGATGCCTACATGGCTGGGGTCACTTGAGCCCAGTTTCTCTCCTGCCCAGGCAGGGGGTCGGACTTGAAGATCTACAAGGTCCCTTCTGACCCTACTTCTATGATTCTATGATTCTATGCCTATGTTGTCCTATTTTCAGGCACTGGCATGTGTGAAGCAACAGTGGGCAGGCAGGGCATACTGCCTGGTGGTCCATCTGCCTGGGCACAGCAGGGGATGCTGTAGACATGTCCTTTTGTGGTACTCTGTCTGGTCAGGTCCAGTGCTCCCCCTGGCCTGGGCAGTCTCCTTATTGTTTGCGGGTCTTTCATACAAGGAAGAGAAGGACCTTTGAAAACCTGAGAAATTGTGACTAAGCCTGAAACATTTGGGAGGTGGGCTCAGCTGAAATGTCTGGAAACCCAGAATACCTTGAAATTCCTATTTAAAAGAAAAAGGACAAGGTTTCAACTTGGCAAGACCCTTTAAATAAGCAGCACCTGAAGGGTGTAACCAGACAAGTACATACCTTTTAAATGTAACGAGCTGCCATTCAGGGATTTGCTCTGTTGAAGCCAGAGAGCATTTTCCCATTGATTCCAATGGGTTGTGGATCAGGCCGTTAGCTCTTCTGAAGTGTCTGTGCAGGCCTCAATGCAAAGTAGCAGAGCTATCATAAGATGGGGCAATGACTCCCCTTCTACTCAACTGGGTGAATAAGGGGGAACTGGAACAATGATCTGATAGAAAAAGAACGTGTAATCATTGCCCAGGCACCCGCTGTGATGTGGTACAGCCATCCGCAGGCAGCCGGGCACTCTGAGAAGTTAAGTCATAAGCCCCAGCCTGTTCATGACTCAGGCCGTATCTATCTTCCGCTCTCTGAAGCGGTGCCTCCAGTACAACCGGAGATGGTGGGTAAGTGAAAGCCTCAGCGATTGCTATGCAATCAAGGACAAGCGCTGTTCAGAGAAGTTACTTTCCATGCACTGCAGCAAACTCTCTGTGTTTTCTGCTCAGCCACTTCCTCCCAGCCCTTTATGTCTCTTTTGCAGAATGAAGGATGCCCTGAAGGCCATAAAATCAACCCCCTCCTCCTCTGCCTGCTTCAGGAGACTTAGCACTGTGGATCAGACCAGACTGGTTTGGCATCCAGCAGCAACCAAATTCGAATGCCCTTTGCGGTGGACAGCAAAGGTGCTTAAGAGCTTGAGGGGGTAAGTTCCAGTCACAGTGCTTCAGCGCCTGCCTCTCCATCTGTGACCCAGCTACCCTCCAGGACTCTGCAGATGACAGAGCCTGAGTGCTTGTGGTGCGGGACATTGTCAGGGGCAGAATCTGAGCTGTGCAACTTCACACTAATGGAATTGGTCTGGGTCCAAGCTCGACCCATTTAGCATTCAGGAAAATCTTCTTTTTGGACATAAGCCTTTCCCTGGTAATGAGGGCTGGATTGGCAAGGGGGGGAAGGGGACAGAGGTAGTAAAAAGAGGAAACCTAAGTAACCTGATTCAGAATACAAGGGACTAAAGAAATCCCCACCATCTGCTCTGACTAAGCACTGCCAGGCTATGTGCAACACAACCTCTGAGAGAGAAACAAGCAAATGACAGCCAGCAAGACAGACAGCAAGGGTACAATTTTCAAAACCACCCCAGGCACTCAAGAGATGAAGCCCCTTTTGCAAATGTGAGTGAAACATTCTGGGTTTAAATCCTACTGATTTTCAAGCTCAAAATGTTGAGGATTCTCCTGAAAATGGAACTTCTGCCCCTGAGGCACTTTGTTTGGTACTATTGAAAATCTTTCCTTCAGTCCATATTTCTTAGTTCATCACAAGGTATCAGCAAATGCACAGAGACCCCCAGAGTTTAGCATAACTATTATTCCCAATAGGAGAAAAATCTGGGTCCAGTTCTGAGCTGCTAGGGGAAGCTTGCTGCAAATCTATATCAAAGGCTGCAATTAGTGACAAAGTGGTGTGTCTACAAGTGCAATTAATGCAACTGAATACACTGCAGATTGCTCCTGGGCACAGCATCTACATGTGTGCCTGGGACAGCAGCAAATATAGCCTGGGAGGAGCAGTTCAGGCCAG